TCAATCCCTGTCTTGTTTCACCAGACTGCTCTGTGTTTATACTGCTAACCTAGGGCCTCCCTTCAGTGAAGACATTACAGAAACAGTGTCATGTTATTACACAAACCAGGGGTTACCTGCACAGGTAGTACACAACCCATATTGTTTAAACTAACCCCGTTTGGGGGTGAACACAGGCAGACATTGCCATGGTTTTCTACGACGTCCTGCAGGGTCTCTGGGGAGAATGTCAGTGTCTGGCTGCACTTATTAAACTAACCCTCGTTAGGGGCTCAATGAGGCCCAGTCTCTTAGCTCTCTATCAACTAGAGCCCACTGAGAATACAAGTGTTCCACAATTTTTTTAAACTCATTGTCAGCAGGAGGTAAGTGATGTGGAGATGTGATATATCTTTTATATTTACTTCCAACTGGGGGTTGATATAACATATATACATTACTTACTAATGCCAAGGTTACTAAACCTCACTAATCCTAAGATCATAGCAGAAAACTTCAAGAATCCCCAACCCCACTTTTATCTCCAACACTGAATCTTTCCGTTCACAAACACAAGCTTCGACAATAAGATACATACAAATTCTCAACACAAGCATCGACAATAAGATACATACAAATTCTCACCTACAAAACAATGTGTTAAGTGACAGTCAGAACAGACATTGACAAAGACCTCTGAATTCAGTAAATTTAAAAAATCCAAAACAGATTTATTTTTTCCTACATTATTCTTGAAAACAATGTGATATTATTTCACCTTTATTCCTGAAAGGACATTACATTTAGACATTTCCTTCAGGCTAGCTGACTATTCTGCAAAGAATTATGGTTAATCGTTCTTTAATTTTCCCTCAAAAAGTGTTTTGAGTGAAACGTGTTGTGAATATCCGTTCCTGCTAGCTCTGTGAATCGGCAAAAAATAGATTTGCATTTAGCTTTTGATCATTCTACAATTTTTCCTCAAACCCAGTTAACAAGCATGTGAGAAGCTGGGTGAATATTGCTGCATCACCTCGGCGATGTTGCTGTATCACTGTGGTGATGTTCGCTGACACAGCAGCTCCAAGAACAGATCTAGACGCCTGCTGTTTCAACACAGGCGGGGGTTGGAAGATTAGATTCACAATGATATGCAATTCTCAAGTTTGGTTACAGTCTCAAATTAAGACTATATAGATCTTCTATCTTAAAAAGTGGGTAAAGTGTGGTTTCTCAATGGCATTGTGTATTATAGCACATATAGTATTATAAGATTATAGTGCTCTGCAAAATGTTATTTAACAGTTTCACATCTCAAACTGTACTCTAGGCCTCCTGGCCTCGAAATATAATAAACTTCTGTTATTCTGGTAAAGTGTGAAAAGATCATATCAGCCAACACAAGCACTTCTGGAAACCCAATTTGATAATATTATATGAATTTTCTTAAACTTTTCTCACTACTCAACAAAGTTAAAATTACAGATGGATATTGGCCCGACTTTCAAATGGCAATTTACTGCATTAATGATATATGTATCTAAGTATTGACAGTCATTGAGTTATGAATGGAAACAGCAATGTGTAAACTGTATGAAATGTGCAGCCTAGTTTTTCACTTTCATTGGGAGATAGATGCAACAACATGTAATCAGGTCAGCTGATCAAAATGCAAAAGATAAAGACTGACTGACTGACTGAGTTTGGTTTTACGCCGCTTTTAGCAATATTCCAGCTACATCACAGCGGGGGACACCAGAAATGGGCTTCACACATTTTACCCATGTGGGGATTTGAACATGGTCAACATGTAATCAGATCAGAGATAGATGCATCAACATTTAACCACTAGGCTACCCCACCGGCCCCAAAAGATAAAGAACAAACCAAAGATGTAACTATCATAAGTACCGCTATATGTATATTGTTTCCTTCATCTGCAATTTGTCATGAATCTGAAGACAACTAACCCTGACAATTTACCCATATATCACACTTCCCATCACTGTTGGCAACTTTCTATTTATCCACCACTTTGTATGATGTTGCTGTGGGCACATCATATACAGGATGTCAGTCACATGACAATAGTTTTACTTGTGTTTACAGGAATTAATGTCTAATTCTATAATTTCAGTTTGACATGTCTCTTTTGTAAACTTTGCCAGCAAGAAAATATGCATGATTTTTAAACACACAACATTAAGATATTTTCCGAAACATATTGTGATATAACTTTCATGAAACTGGTACACCAGTACTACAGTGCACCCCTAAATTTGTGGAAATTCAAACCTCAACAATTCTTATTCTGTATAGAGAATTCAGAGCAGCTGGGAATTCAGTTAACCTTACTTATCAGTGACCTACCCACAAGGGTTTTATAAGTGACCATTTTATGTATAATGCTTTGAAAAGTTGATTAATTTAGTCCCAAATGTGATCTCAAGTGAATTCTACCCCATCACACAATATTGGAACCATATATCACACTTGGGGTCCCAACCTTGAAGCCTTACTTCTACAGTGTTCATCCTTGTGTGTGGTATATAACATGGGGCCTGTATAACAATGTACAACCTTGTTGGAAACACAGAAACCCCTACTTCAAGACAAGCACCTGTTGAGCAGGACAGTAACTTTTTCTAAGTAAATCTTTTTCCTTTGTTATTTCTAAATATTTAATCCCTGGGCTGGTTGCAAGTTTTGAACGCTTTGTAGACACATAGGAAGGGCACCTGAAGAGCCAGGTACATACACGAGGAAAAAAGGTTCCATGTTTTTGTCACTGAGGTCAAAGTAAGGTTGTGGTTTTCAGAACATGAAACATCAGTGTAATTTCACTCCACTAACCATGTTAAATATATCTTCATAAATTATGTATGAAGGTGTTATCAGATTGCTAAAGGCATTGAATACAATACAATATAGCACACACAGGCAAAGGTTGATATGAGAGGCCATGTACAAGAGATATCATCTTATACATTCTCTTACAAAGTTAAAAAGATTCAAGTATATCGTATTAATATCTACTTGGTGTGAAATTAATGGTCATGACATAAGCCTGATATGAATGATATAGAATGTCATATCCATTTCTATCAATTACTGGGACACGTTTGCCCTTAACACACATGGGAAAGCAGATGAACAAAAATACATGCATAGTGACTAATAGATTTAAGATTCTTTAGCTTTCTTGTTAACAAGTGACAAGTGCAATAAAGCTATGAGGAGTAATTGATCAGTTTCCAGTAGGCATGAAATGAAATTCCTGATATTACCATACACACTACAATAACAGTAACATGAAACACATGTGTTATAACATTTATCCTTCAATTGTAGCAAGACACAGGTCAGTATACATGTATATTAAACGACCCCATATATACTACAGTCACCTATGTGATATAACGTGAGTTGATGAAAACAAGAAATCTAAATCACCTTCTTGCTATTCTATTATCTTTTACAAATGATAACTATCTTCTTTTCATTAATTTGTGCTTATGAAATATCTTGGACATAACAACCAAATATTACAAGTTAACTGAACTGTATGATTTAATGCCATGTATATTAGTGTTTTTGGAAAGACAAAAGTAGTAAACTTTAAATAATTACATCAATCTGTCAAAATAACTTACAAAACGTACAAACTTAAATGAGACAAATTCTGTACTCTCTAAAGGCACCTATTTTATGACACAGAGCTGAGTAAAAGAGAGAAGCTTGTCTACTAAAGGTATGGAGAGTCACGCACACAAGAAAGTATGATGTGTACACAACGCTGTTCCTCCGTCTTTTCTACACAAGCCCTGTGTGAGAAAGCAGTCCTGCACTTTGCTTGTTTCCCATCCCCTAGACACTGTTGAGCACAGCTACAGACGCATAACATTAGCAGCCTGTAATACAATCTCCCACTAATTGACTATAGCATGTTAAGTATTAATTTCATCTTCCTACTGGTGTTTCTGCTTATATACAACGTTCTAGAGTTACCGGTTGCCATATTTTCAGGTTATATATCAATAATAAGAGAATTATTATTACTGTTAAAACAAATTGCTGTTTCCTCTTCATATCACTACATAATCAGTGATACTGATGTTTAATGCATGATAGTGAAAGAGAAATCAGACCCTGATGGTCTATTGGTGTAATGTGAGGTTTATTAGTTCAATTAATTACAGACATCTTATTAACATTCTTCTACATAGCCTATGTCATGTGTTTTTATCCTTCCTCATATTGAATTTACAATCAAAACCCCGAAAAGGTGGATGATGTTTTTTATCTTCATCCATAAACTCTAATATACATGAAATTAATGCTTCAGAATTATAATTTCATATCAGCAAGTATTCACTTAAAGGGAAATCATTACTGAAGGATAAGAGCCACCAACCACTATACAGAGTATCTAATCACATGGTTATGTGTGATACACCAGTTGAATAAATATTGTGTATCACCTACCAAAGAATAAACTGTGTTAATATGTTCCAAACTACACACACTACTATATTGATGATGAAACAACAATGTTAAAATAAGAGTTACAAAATATATGATGATGTGATGTAACTATGGTTATACCTGGCTTCATTACATGAGCTAAACATTTAGATTCTTTCTTGGACTAATGTCATCAACTATTAATTGTTATTAAAGAAAACCATCTTTTTAAAGATTTTCCATTGTCTTCACGATGTAAAATACTAATTTTTAACAAAATGTATTCAAACTGTAAAGTACCAGTGAATTTGTCAAACAGAAACAAAGTGCCATGATTGTGACACTCAGGTTTAAGTTTATTTACATAATATCTGTATAACAGTATTACTAGGTACATCAACACACAAATAAAATCCAGTGTATATTACTCGATCAGAACAGTAAGCGAAATGGAGAGACATTGTTTGACATTGACAGCAGGCGATGAGGAGACAGAAACTGTGTTGAAGTTTCCATAACAACCAATATTGTTGATAATCAACACAAACAAATCTTACCTATAGTTTTCAGTAAATCCAAGTCTTCCAACTTCGGTGCAGGTTTGTCATCCTCATTTTCACCCAGGGGGCTGTCTTTTTTCATAGACGACCCATAACGCTTGAGATTAGCAACTTTTGCAGACGCCATTTTGGAGAGGAACGACGCAAGATGCTAACTCAATTGACTTCAACTCGTGCCAAAGTTTCCAAACCGAGTCTAACTTATGTCATGTCTGTATCCGGAGTCACAAACAATAGATGTACGATGATTTCATCGTTGTAAGTGTCTAAGTTCAGTCAGTGCTGAGCGGGAAACTTCTGACACTCCTCAGTGTTAGATCACTGTGTTTGCGAACTCTCGTGTTTTGAAGGTAAATCATGCGCCTTTCGTCGTCTGCTCGAACGACTCGTAGCCTGAACAGTCTACGTTAGACGCCCTTCTGTGATGTTTGTTAGCATGGCGAAGGGAGGTAACCAGAATGGTGTATATGCTGACCGATAATCCGAAATCGGGTTATACGCTAAGCAATAAATATCTACAAGATTGATAATTGCACAATAGACGCCAATAATAGAACTTGGAAGGTACTTCTACTAATAGTATTGGATAAGATATCGTAACACGAAATACTGATACCCTTGACGAAACCAGCCAAGTCCAGACTGTGTGAACTGGGAGGCTTGATTTGGACCCAGAGGGTCGGAGATGGAAGATATGTCAGGATGAAATGAAACTGAGTATATTTAGTAACCAATCACATTTCAATTTGTTACATTAACGAACTCTGAGTTTTATTTTTGATGTTATGATTCTGATAGGAATGGTTGAATTTAAACACTGAGATCAACCAAAACAACAACGCCTGTGATTACGTCGGTACAAAATACAATTTTATTACTCCCCCCACCCAAGCGTTGAAGATATCACTACAATCTACAATGTTATTATACATTGTGGAATAATGCCCGACGCATGACGTCTTGATGATTTACAGTTATGACGTCACAATGCTAATACCGTTTAGTATCCTCTATTTATCCAGCAGAAACTGCATATAATTTTAAACGTGATTTATTGAGATTCTTATTTTCCATATATTTTTCTTGGAGCGCATGTATCAAACTTGTTAATGAGTGGGTGATGGCTGGAGCATCGCCTAAACTGAGAGAAGATATACATTCGTTTTACAACCTTTTCCAAAAGGAAGAGCAGCTTACACTTTCGACTATTAAGTTTAAGGTACTGTAGTTCAGTGTACAAGCTTTAGCTGTTGATGTAAGCGTGATGTAAACGGTATGTCTGTGTTACTAGATTGAATGTGTGAGTGAGAAGTGTGTTATTTTCAGCATTCGAAATTAACGTTGGTCCTTAGGCCCGAAACCGACTAAAAACACTCGGACTCACAGCTTTTGTTTTCTGCAGGTCCTTATGGCCGACAACTTTAGTATTGTTTCCATATTAAAATACACGGCCTACACAGTCTGATGATGCATGACCCACAACCCTTTATGGTTCTGGGTCCTTAGGGCCTGCAATGTTTTAGGGTTAAGGACAAACACTGGTTATTTTATGAAACAAAAACACAACAAAGATGTACTGGTACTTTCTTTATATGTCATGGGCTTTCTTCTACCCTGGCGGAAGCCTGTTTTATGTAATACATTGTAGTTAATTCTTTTCATAAACCATAAATGGAGAGAAAAAAAACCGCTTATATAGATGCTTCCGCGTGTTGTATGTACTACAAAGTTTTAATCTCAAATGAGAAGACACGTTTCAAATCAAGTCAGTGATACGAGGTCTCGCGTTTCCAACGCACCTGTTGGTAGGCATTGCTCAGACGTGCATATAATATGATGCATGTGTGATCAGGCCTCGTTAAAACGTTTTTATGCGTTATATAGAAGGAGGGAAATGCGCAATGCGGTCAGCGCTTGGTCACTCATACCATTGTTTACAAAAACGGAATGTCCAAGTCGAGCCCGGAGAAGACAAACCATGGGCGGTAGTGAGGAAACGATCGGGGCCGTCGGGTTGCGGTGACGCACTCAACCTAGTCCCGTTTATCACCCGTGAAGGTCCGGGGTAGAATATTGATCTTCAATAACCCATGCTTGTCGTAAGAGGCGACTAACGGGATCGGTGGTCAAGCTCGCTGACTTGGTTGACACATGTCATCGGTTCCCAATTGCGCAGATCGATGCTCATGCTGTTGATCACTGGATTGTCTGGTCCAGATTCGATTATTTACATACCGCCGCCATATAGCTGGAATATTGCTGAGTGTGGAAACTAAACTCACTCACTCAACAAGTGATCTGAGCTACTAATGCATTGCGTGTGCGTGTTAAAGTATAAGAGTTAGACAGTTGAAGAGTCCTAGACCCACATTATAAACCCTTTCGCAGGGGCCTCACTTTAATGCTTAAACTCCTGATGAATCAAGTCCAAAATTCTACACAGGTGACTACTTTTCACTGAGGCTATTTTTCAATTTAATCGTAACTGCGTTTTTTTCCCTTGACCAGTTATAAGCCCAGAAACCAGTCAAACACTCCCCGCTGTTTGACCTCAACGACAGGGTGTAATGTGGGAGAAGAGATGAAATGTTTGTAGTTCTTTCATTCCAAGATGATTCCAGTTACAAGCGAGGAGTATGCAGGGGACCACGATCACTGCAATTTTGAAATAAAGCCGTGAAGTATACGGTGTCAGTGAATGGGGTAAAACGTCCATAGGGATAGAAATATACTGACGTTCATAAGAAAGTACACACCTGGTGTTTGGGGACTATTCCAAATAAAACCATAAATATTTTGCTAGCAATGTTGTAATTTGGTACAATATCTGTGGTGTTTTGGAAACACTTGCACAATGTTTGTGACAAGGCAGAATCAAAACTTTTTAATATTAATGACGTTTTAAAGAAAATATTTTACCAAAGAATCAGGTGTGTACTTTCTTTGAACGCCAGTTTATATAGTAATAGTGAGTGGGCGAGTTTGGTTTTACGCCGTTGTTAGCAATATTCCAGGAATTTCACGGTGGGGGACACCAGAAATGGGCTTCACATATTGTACCCATGTCCGGAATCGAACCCGGGTCCTCAGCGTGACGAGCGCACGCCTTAGCCACGAGGCTACCCCACCGCCCCTACTACCCTATAGAGTAATAACCGCCCTGTATAGCTGGGCATATGCATTTTAGCTCACCACAGTGTGAACCTCCAATACCCATATTAACCGTTAGATCGGTTCTGATGTCGTTCTGGGGCGGTGGGGTAGCCCAGTGGTTAAAGCTTCCGCTCGTGACACTAAAGACCCGGGTTGGATTCCCCACATGGGTACAATGTGTGAAGCCCGTTTCCGGTACGGTGTTCCCCGCCTTTTATAGGGCTGGAATACTGCTAAAAACAGCGTGAAATCATACTCACTCACTCACTCTGATGTACTTATCTCCGACGCTGTGGTCCAGTTCCCTTTTTTTTATTGACCAACGGTCTCTGTAATAGACTCAGCGAGTCACAAACCGTGTAATAATAAAACCTGCTTGTTTGTTTGTTGTTTAACGCTGCAGTAAGCAATATTCCAGCTATATAACCTCGGTCTGTAAAAATTGATAATCGAATCTGGACCAGACAATCCACCGATTGACAAGAGCATCGATCTACAAAATTAGGATACGGTGACATGTGTCAAGAAAGTCAGCAAGCCTCACCACCGGATTCTGTAAGTCGCCTCTTATGACTGACTGAGTTTGGTTTTACGCCGCTTTTAGCAATATTCCAGCAACAACACGGCGGGGGACACCAGAAATGGGCTTCACACATTGTACCCATGTGGGGATTCGAACCCAGGTCTTCGGCGTGACGAGCCAACGCTTTAACCATTAGGCTACCCCACCGCCCCCGCCTGTTATGGCAAGCATGGGTTGCTGAAGACCAATTCTAAGCTAGATTTTCACGGGTAAATAGAATCTGTACTTTTGTCGACTGTGTTGTTATGACAACTTAACCCATGATGTGTTGTATCGGGCAAGGACATGAAGAGACAAACATGGCGTCGCGGGTAGAAGACACTTTAAGACAGCCAGGTGTCTGTCGAGGATGCTCGCGAACCCGGATGTGACCCCACCCAAATCCCGTCTACCCTCCATATAGCGTCACCCGTCATGGCAAGCCTTACCAACTACAGTCCTCAAATGTAACTATATATATCCATGAATACCCTAGGGCCTAATGCCACGAAGGCAAATTCACTAACAAGGGAAATCAGGCTAGCTTACGTCCGTGGCAAATGATATAATCTGACTTGATTACAGACCAAAGACTGGGAGACCAAAATAACACGTGGTCTAACTAAATACATCCGTAGGCGGATTCAGCATTTTTAAAAACGGGAGATATATATATATAATACCCGAGTCACGAACAGACCTAGCCGAGGGGTAATTTACATATATGGTGTCTAAAACCGTCTGTGACGTCACAGTGGAATTCTCTTTCAGCACACGTCAACTATACAACGTCGACGGATCACCTGTCTGGTAAAATAAACACATTATACCACCCCGTGTTTTTCCTTTACAAAGCCTAAGCCAATGCCGTCCCCGACCCGGAAAATAATTAAACAGCAGTACTCCAGTCTCGAATGTCTCAGCTCAAGACAAATTGTTCAGAGCTTCATTATGATTTGTTCTGTAAATAAATAATTATAACCTACATTTTTATTAATAAGACAACTTTATTCCTGGGAATATATGCACTTCTACCTAGCTACGTATTAAGACACTTATGTGAAGCATTTACCAGTGGTTCACTGCAACAAAATACCAGATGTATTAAATATCACCTCTTTCAAGAAAGGGTCCTTTTACATACCGATCATGCTTTTGGTGTGAGCCAAAACGGATATCGGGTTTCCAGGTTCTATGGCGGTGTTGGACAGTGATGATGCTATGGACCACGGGTCTGCAGAGGCTGATTACGTTGGGCAGTCGTGATCTGTGGAATATCGCCGACAGCGGCGTAAAACAAGCAAGCATTACTACAAGAGCACCTGAATGGGGAACGCTAAAGAAACATTTTCCCTCGTTTCGTTCCATTAATTATGATAATGTATAAAAGTTATATTACTTATACATGGAAATCAAATATTAAACACACATATTGAATTATCACACCATAAAGTGTTATAATAAACTATGATATTTATATTTGCCAAGTTAGTATGGGATGGTACAACCCGGTTGAATCCGTATTTCCTGAGGCCTTTACAACAACAGGTGCTTTTGTGTGTTTTTCGGTTATCCGTCTCTTTTGGGGGCGGCGGGGTAGCCTAGTGGTTAAAGTGTTCGCTCGTCACGCCCGAAAAC